CGTCGCGCTGTGATGACATCACATGCGCGCTTTCATCGAGCGCGATTTTGTCCTCCGCGCTTTTGACGGGTCACGGAAAAAAGTGACTATGCACCCTGTTACGCTGCTAATAAAAACATCCCATGCTCGTTTGTGCAAAGGTACCGGAAACCAGATTCAACTTTTACTACCGAGCGGAGTGACTATCAAATTAAACTTTACAATTTGGCACCAACTGTTCAAAGAGAGTGGAAAGCTGCATTTCGAGTTCTTCCGAGGACTGACAGCTTAGTTAATTTTTAGGAAGGCCAAGCGGTAGAACAGAAGGATCGGAACCATTTCTTATCCAGTATTTGTTCTTTTTATTATTCGGGTCAAATTCTCAAAGCCACTGCAGCGGCTGCGCGACAATAAATAACAATAACTTACTTTGGTTTGCAAAGGCTGAGAAAGAACCACACACCTTCCATGATCCATAAGATAATTTAACACTGGCAATGGGGAGGGGGGGAGGTGTGGAGTTTGATTTGGACAGGACACACACACACACACACACACACAAGTCCTGCTGGGATTTTTCCAGCAATCATGCGGGCTCAGGAGGAGAGAAAGAGAGTGAGAAAGGAGGAAAAATTCTCCTCTTTTCGGACCACCAAAGAAACAGAAGGGGGAAAATGTTCCAGCTTTTTCCAGGGAAGACGGAAGCCACAGGAGAGTTGGTGATGGGCCTCCAGAACTGGTTGAGATGAAGGCAACGGATGTCTGTGTGGATCTACACCATTCCACGTTGAGTTGAGTCCTTCCATGGAGGAAAAAGAACAGGAAAAATGGAGGGAAAGCCATCTTCTAAAAACGACCAGACAAGAACGGGATATGAATCTCCTTCTAGTAAAATCCAGAAGTATTTGAGAGGGGAAGGGCAGGGGGGAACCAGAATTCCTGGGAAGTTTAACTCCTTTTCCTTCTCAGTGTTTGGCAAAATCAGAGGAATCCTGAAGACTTCCAGCCACGGATGGACCGACTGACCGACAGAAGCTGAGATGGAGCCGGGTTTTTTTTTAAATAAAGAGAATAATTTAACACGTTGTGTTGGCTTAGCGCTCAAGTTCTCATGCAAGAAGCAAAAAAAGGCATGCGGAAGAGTTCCTCGAAGGTCAGGCGTTCCAAAGACCCTCTCACGTTTCCACCGGGCTAGGAACCATGCTGTTGGGGGTATCGGGGAGCTGGGACGATAGAGAGGTGACGTCGCTACCCGAGGAGTTGCCTAAGGAGCCGGATTCAGAAATGGAGAGCTGTGGATGAATTTTGAAAAATAAAGGAACAAGTTGGGGAGAGATGAGTTAGAAAAATGGGACAAACAGCCTCAATGGGTAAAACAGGAGATGTTCTATTTTAGTACAGGTTCCCCTCACACACATACATGCTAGCCGTTCCTGACTCTAGGGGGCGGTGTTCATCTCCGTTTCAAAGCCGAAGAGCCAGCGCTGTCCAAAGACGTCTCCATGGTCATGTGGCCGGCATGACTCAACGCCGAAGGGACACAGAATGCTGTTCCCTTCCCACCAAAGGTGGTTCCTATTTTTCTACTTGCATTTTTACGTGCTTTCGAACTGCTAGGTTGGCAGAAACAGGGACGAGTCACGGGAGCTCACTCGGTTACGCGGCGCTAGGGATTCGAACTGCNGGAAAAGATGACAAAAGTCAGAAGTTTAAAAATGCATCAGTGACTAAAATGTTCCCGCACCTCAATGAAACCATGATCCAAGGGTCTGGCGTTCGATTTGCAAATAAATGAATAAATTGCAATGAACAAACAGTTTGGCCTCCTAATCTGATTGGCAAATGCATGAACAATCGGTCATAAATAAGCAGGTTACACAATTCAGGCTCACAAATTGGGATTGGCGAAGGCAGAGATACACGATCGTAGTCCCATCGTTACACGCTACTGTGCTGTTTCTGCAGGAAAATTTGCCCGGTTTTCAGACAAACATCAAATCTGGGGGGGGTGGGGGAAATGCTAATACTTGAACATAAAAGAATGGCGAGGTATTTATTCCTCTCACACACTGTTCATCCAGGGCATAGATAGAGAATGCCAGTCTTCTCCCAGCTAGATCAAATCCCAGCCCTTGAAAACTTTTTGCCGGAATTTCAGCTATTCTTGCAGCCAGGAAGAAAAGCAAGTGAAGCTTTGTATATTCTCCTTTGCCCAAATTGGCCGACAATTTTATGGAACCGCTCTTGATATCAAATTGTACATATTTTGTTTTGGTGTGGCACAGCCTCCCTCCAGAAGCCACGAGAAAACACTTAAACCGGCTTTGAGTTCACGAAAACCCATGTGCCCTGGAAGTGAAATATGACGAACGAACGCCAATCAGTGAATGAATTCTTGCGTGTGGACAACAATAACGGCCAGAAAAAAAATAATGAAACACGGCAAATGGAAGTTGAGTGATTGTGGAAGAAGACACCAGTGGCCGTACCAATAGTAAGAGGAGCCACCCTTGGAGCATCACCCCGTGGGTTGCCGAGATGCATGGAAATTTTGAATTTATTAGCTCTGAATATTCTCTGACTTCTCTGCCAACACCCCCCCCCCCCAACAAAACACAACCACTTTATTTCGGGACTGCCTACATCAGTGATGGCGAAACGTTTTTGTTGTTGCATGCTGAAAACGAGTGTGCACGCCGCGCACATCCGTAATGTCCTAACCAAGGACCTGTTAAGATAATGAGGACCCGGATTGTTGTTGGGGGCGATATGCTGACTCTGTAAACCGCTTAGAGAGGGCTGAAAGCCCTATGAAGCGGTATATAAGTCTANTTTGGGAAAAGTTCTTCCAATGATCCTCTCGAGGTTCCGAAAGGATTCTGTGGGAACCCAACCCGTGGCCTTATTTTTATTTCAAGGCATGTTGGACGTATTTCCACCTGCAATTGTGGGGCCAGGCAGTGTTCCTCGCCCACAAAAGCCACCAGCAGAACTTTTTTTAACAATTCCCCCCTCCCCCCAAAAAATAAGGAGCAACGGGAAACAGTTTCTAGAACAAATCTTATTTTTCACCCGCTCTCGGCTGCGTGACAAGGAAGCATCCTTGATCTCCTTCGCTTCGCTTCTTGGTTTGTTATAAAATTGACAGATTTTCGAACAAAAAAACAACAACCCACAAGCCCATTAATTTAAAAAAGCATTTCTAAGTGGCTACTTTAAATTCCGCTTCTTTGAGTCAGGCAAAGGACAATTATTGCACGCTTAGAGAAATCAACGTAGCTACGTATCCCTTAGTTAATGATCGTCTTCTCTGTCCTAAGGTTAGATGCGACATTGTAAAGGATAAAGTAAAAATATGATTTTTCCTTGTAAGCAGCTTTATTTTTTGGAAGCCCCTGAAAAAGAAGCAAAAAGTTGGGTTTTCGGAATTAAAATTTGGGAACGTTGCGAGGTGTACAGAGTCACGTAGTTAGCTTGTTTTGAACGTTGGTTGGGTTGTCATTTTTACCATTGAAAAATCTGTTTTTAAACCCACAACTTTTGTGTACTCTTTTTCGCAAAAATAAGGAACGCACACCTCCGCAGGAACGAACCGCGTCGAATAAACCTGGCCGTTATTGATTAAAACGTCTCTTCAGGACGATTAGGACTTTAATTGCAATCCTGCTTTTTTTGAGGGGGGGTTCAGGGAGGGGTGCCATTCAAAGCCACAACGCCTGGCACGGAGGGCGGGCGCTCCCACAGCCGGTGTCTTTAAAATTCCATTTGGATTTAGAAGACTTAAGTGGTCCCCCTTTGTATTCACTGGACGGTTTTCGATTTCATTTTCGCTATTGAACTAAAAAATGTGAACTATTGCATTGTCAATCCCGTGCTTGACCTGAACTGCATTATGAACCGAGAATGTGTTCTTAGCGAATTGTTAAAAGTTCTTTGAAACTTGTAAATCCCTGTAATTTATGTTCCTCTGGCCTCTTAGCCATTTCTTTCTCTTTCTCTCTCTCTCTTTTCCTTTTCGACCTTCTGGTTTTAATTTGGAGAGCAGCTTGGTCCTGCCGCTTAGACTTGTAAAACACACAGCTATTGTTTTTTTTTTCTCAATCGCAACCTTAGAAAAAGCTACCACCATCCTCAAATTGGAGGAGTTTCCTTGGAGGCGTGAAAGTCCTATGTGGGTCAAACAGTTCTTTTGTCATTGAGTGTCATCTTCCTTCTCCTCCTCATTATTATTATTATTATTATTATTAATTTTATGGCTATTATCTTCTTGAGTGTCCCCTGACCCTAAGCTGATATCATCCAAGTTTCTTTATTATCAAGATTTTCTGGAATTAACTAGCTGAAGAAATTTACTCCGGAAGAAACCAGCAAGAGCTTAACATAACTTTTGTTGTAAAGTGACGGCAGCTCCATTTATCTAAACAAATCTCGTCAAAGGCATTAATAGAAATCCAGATTTTTTTCCCCCCCTGAAATGGGAGGATCTTATTAGCTGCTTCTCAGAATCCAACTACACGCAACACACATTTTTTTTCCTCCATTCTAGGTGGGTCATTATTATTTTTTCTGGTTGTCCCGAAAAGCACATTATTAGGAGCAGAGATGTCCTAAGATCTTTGCTTTCCTTAATCTTTTACCCCACTTGCTTTTTACGCGTGTTTTCTCCGTGTATATGTACGTGTAGGTAACAACTGCCAATTATTTTATTTTTTTGCCTTTTCGTGTCGTTACTGAAGAATTGTGAAGTCCGTATTTTCTGTAAGGTCCTCCTTGTGTAGTTTTGCAAGTACTGGATCTAAGAAGAAGAAGAAGTAAGCATCCAAACTCGATGCTTAAAATTTTAAAAATGTAGTTTCTTGTTGTCGTTTTTCTTAATTAATACAAAAGCTTCTTGGCTTCGTAACCTATTTTTAACTCCTTTTCCAGGCGAGCTGGGAAATCTATCAGTACAGCTGGTTCTAACGTGGTGCTCTCTGTGTTTTTCAGGTAATTGTTCAGTCCGGCCGCCATCCCACCGTGCTGCAGAAGCTGTGCCAGTTGCCTTTCCAGTATTTCAGCGACCCTCGGCTGATCAAAATCCTCTTCCCGACACTAATTGCCGCCTGTTACAATAACCCACAAAACAAGATTATTCTGGAGCAAGAAATGAGTTCTGTGTTGCTGGCCACTTTCATTCAGGTAAATGTCAGTTGGTGTGAGGTCATCACACAGAGATTTCTGTCTTTAAAAAACCTAGTGATTTTTCATTTGAAAGAGGAAAGATGAAGAAAGGGAAGGGGAAGGAGGAAGGAAGGAAAGGGGGAAGGAAGGAAGGAAGGAAGGAAGGAAGGAAGGAAGGAAGGAAGGAAGGAAGGAAGGTCCCTTCCAGACCATGATTCCATTATTTTCTTTTAGCTATCTTCCAAATCAGGGTTTGAGAAAGAAAGAAAGAAAGAAAGAAAGAAAGAAAGAAAGAAAGAAAGAAAGGAAGAAAGAAAGAAAGAAAGAAAGAGGAAGGAAGGAAGGAAGGAAGGAAGGAAGGAAGGAAGGAAGGAAGGAAGGAAGGAAGGAAGGAAGGAAGGGACACTTTTTCCATTTTTCCCCCAAGTGAAAGACTTCTTTATAATCCAAAGTTTTATCTCGTAAACATTTGCTAAGTATTTTGGAAAATACTCTTAACTATCGGCTGATGTTTTTGCTTAAAACGTCCATTCTTATAAAGGTTTGAACCGCTGATACTTCCTAAGACACAGGAAAAGCTCCTGAAATAGATCCTATGGTCCCATTTCGCAGACAAATCTAGTTTTAATACAATGCAACTGATACCAAAATGTAAATTGTCTCACATACTTAAATAGATTGCAGGGTTTATTTTGTTTTAATTACAGATATGAACTTTAGATCCTGTTGCCAGTGGCAGTAAATATCGGCTATGCTAAACGTTTAGATTGGAAACTCTGGTTTGCATAAACAATCGTTCTATTTTATGTGTGCAAGGATGCACATTTTTTTGGCATGCCAGCAGCCTACTTTAATAACCAGCTTGCACAAAGCAATGTTTATTTATGTGCACATGTCCATGCATAGACAGTTAATTGCTCCTATCAACCTTCAGACACATTCCAAATTTGTAGTGCTTAACCTGTTGCAAATCTGTAAAATCGTTGAAAGATGGAAACACTTTTTTCCCCATTCCAGTGAAAGCAGTTTCCGCAACAGTTGCTTGGCAATATTTATACTCGAGAGTGAAATTGTAAATAAATAACATAAAAATAGACCGCGATAAAAGCAAATAACGACAAACAAGGCCTCAGATCCTGAAACCGAGAGATCAGATCCATTAAATGAAGAACGGAAAGATAAAGTGCAATTTTATGGAGGAAAGGAGGTTTTTTTGTAACTCTTTGGAAAGCATAAATTAGCAACCGCGAATGATTTCGGCTACCACAAGTTATAAGAAAACAAAAGCATTGATTGCTTACATGAAAAATGAACTATTGTTTTAACCGGTAAAGCAATCAATATATAGTTACATAATTCAAAACCCGGGATAATTTAGCCACAGTCAAATCCAGCTTAATTTTAATTAATGTTAATGTCTTTTTAAAAAATGTTTCTTCACATAAACCTAACTGGTTCTGCAACCCGAAAAGAACTTAGCTTCCTTTGGCCTCTAGAAATAATTGTTTAGTAATCTCATTTTCTTTTTTTCTTTTTTTGTTTTAAAAAAAAAATCTAATAAAACAGTATTAAACAAATAAACAAACAATTAGGCCGCATAAAAAGCCGAGTTTGTTTTCTTCTCCCAGATATTTGCAAAATGAAAAACAGATTTACACGGATACTTGGATTTCCAGTTGCGTGCTCTAAGCGGGGAGACACAATGAGAGGCCAGGGGTCCTGTTTCATTTGGGGGGGGGAAGGGAGATTCAATGTGAGAATCTAACCCCTTAGATTGGAAAATAAATGTTTACCATATGGGGAATTGGGCTAAGCAGAGAGGACTCGGTCAGGTTGCATGCCCAGGGATGCGATCCAAATGCATAAAAATAGAAAATAGCAATCGCCCTTCAAAAAAAATTAAAATAATTGTTGTATCATCCTTTTTTTAGAAATAGAAGTGGGGGGGGACCTTTTATTTATTTATTTATTTATCTGTTAAAAGCCAAGTTCTCTCCTGCTAAAATCTATCACAACTGTGGCTGTTTTGACAACTTTTAAGGAAGGGAAGAGTTCTATTCAAAGGATGAAGCATTTTCCGAGTCGTCCCGCGGTTAAGTGTTGTGTTTCGGGGGGAAATTGGACAATATCTGGCTTTTATTTTCTGTAGGATTTTGCACCAGGCTTGGGCCAAACAGACAACCAGCTTTCTCAACAAAGGGGTAAGTCATCCTCAGGCACACAAATTAGCCGTGGTCTTGGGTTCCAAACACGCCCAGTTGGGGTTTTAGGAGACGGCTGGCGGGAAAACTGGAAGTTCCTGCTGGATCTTTGAAACCTGCGGAAAGTTGACCTAATGCTAAAAGCGCTTCGTTTTCTTTAAAAAAAAAAACTTGAACTTCCTTTTAAAAATCGGGAAATAGATCCCAAGGGAAGGCAAATCTTGCCGGGGGGGGGTGGGGGAGTGTGGAAGTGGGGTGAGACCTCTACCCCCAAATCCAGCAAAGGATTAGCCCAACATAACTCTAAAGTAAATTCTGTGTTCTTCCTTTGACAGAAACATTCTTCGCTTCTCAAGATTATTTGGAGCTGTCAAACAGGTTCCCTCAGCAGTCCTGGGAAGACGCCCGGCAGTTTTTCTTGAAGAAAGAGAAAAAAGGATAATTTATTGAATTGTTTCGTTTCGTTTCGTTTTGGTTTTTGCCAAGACGGTTTTTGGAGTTTGTTTGTTCGTTGTTGTTTTTCTTCCCCTTGTTGAGCAATGTTGGTTGTCTTGAAGACGACGTGTTAAAGATTCTTCTACCTTGGCAACGCATATATTGTAGATAAATATACATAGAGAGAGGTGTATATATATATATATATATATTTTTTAAAAAAGTATAATTTGCACTACTTCGGTTGGAAGACTTATGTACATATGTTGAAATCCTGTTTCGTGGTTTTGGAAAACAAAAGATTTGTTTTTTTTCTCGNATCAAAATGAACTTTGGACTTGAAAAATGTGCTATATTATCCATGCAGCGAGGAAAAATGGAAAAAAATAGAAGAAATAGAACTAGGAAATGGAAGCATAGTGAAAGCATTAGCAAAGGATGATGGTTACAAATATCTAGGCATATTGGAGGCAGATAACATTTTGAATGGAAAAGTCAAAGAGTCAAAGCAAAAGGAATACATCAGGAGGGTCCACAAAATATTAAAATCAAAGCTAAATGCTGGAAACATAATTAAAGCCATTAATGCATGGGCAGTTGCAGTGATATGCTACTCAGCTGGAATCATCAACTGGACTTTGGCTGAACTGGAAAACTTGGACCAAAAAATGCACAAACTTTTGAATATGTGTCATGCTTTACATCTACGAAGTGACATCAACAGGTTGTACCTGCCACGAAAAATAGAGGGCAGAGGGCTATTGCAATTCCATCAAACTGTAGAAGAAGAAAAATGAAGTTTGAATGATTATGTTAACTAAAGTACAGAAAAAATGCTAAAGTCTATGAAAATGGAGAACAGTATAAAAACAACAGAAACTAAGGCAGAATATAAGGAAAAACAGCTGGATGACAGATTAAATAAATGGAAAACCAAAGCTTTGGATGGACAGCACTTGAAAAACATTGAAGGAAAATGTGATGACAACTTGGCATGGACATGGCTTAAGATGGTGACCATCAAGAAACAAACAGAAGGTTTAATGCTCACTGCTTAAGAACAAGCACTGCAAAGTAATGCCATGAAAGCGAAGATACAAAAATACACTGACAATCCAAACTGCTGACTTTGCAACAAAAAATTTGAAACTGTTTCATATTTAATATGTGAATGCAGCAAAATTGCCCAAACTGATTACAAAGCTAGACACGATCAAGTTGCTAAATTAATCCACTGGTCATTATGTAAAAAAATACAACTTACCGGTATCCAAAAAGTCATGGGAGCACAAAGTGGAAAAAGTTACCAAAAATGAGAAGGTGAAGATCATCATTTGGAACACAACATGCCAGATATCACAGTTGTTGAGGGCCAAACCATACAGTTTATTGATATTGCAGTACCAGGAGACGCCAGAGTCGAAGAAAAAGACCTGGAAAAAATCATGAAATATCACAACCTGGCCATTGAAACTACACGATTATGGATGAAACATGTATCAGTGATACCCATTGTCATCGGGGCACTTGGTACCATGTCCAAGAATCTTATAAAATACATCAAGAAATTACAGCTTCCTGCAATAACACCAGCAGAAATGTAAAAAACAGCACTACTAGGGACATCTTAAGAAGATATTTGTTCGATATCTAGGATGCTGGCAGCAACCCATATCAACAATCAGCATCAACCAATGGTATTTGTGATACATTTTTAAATGTTTGGTTGTCTGAGTTTTATGTTTAATGAATAAAAGAGATAATAATAATAAAAATAATTAACAACAATAATAATAAATGCTTATTCATAACTACCCTTGATACACTGAGAACTATAAGTACATATCTTGGGCTGCAATTTTAATTTTGTCACCCCTAAGAAGGATGGCGAGGAAGCGGAATAAAATAAGTTCAAAGAAGGCCCTGACCAATTAGATTGTCATTTAATATAGTCCAATGTTTCTTGTTTCCATCAGAGAAGGAGAAGGATGCCATGTTCAAAATACTTTGGTTGTCATCTCCACTGTTATGTGTTTTTCCGTTCTAAGGTTAAGTATTAAGGCAGAAGGAGGCATTTAACCATTGTTTTGTTTGTTAGGTTATAGAGGAGATCACTGTCACCACAGGAGAACGGTGTCAGAATCTGCTTTAGTGAATCAAGAAAGAAAAATGTTGAAAAGGAAAGAAAAAAGAGACATGTCTGACCAATATATTTTGACACACAGTCACCACTCCACTCACTCCTCAGTTTCTTCAGAATTTGAACATGGAATCTCAGTTCCTGGAGTGAGAATGTGGCTGAGAAAGCGAAAGCATTTTAGAGGCCGTTCGATGCTTATGATGCTTCATTTTTAGAGCCACCATTTCCTGCTTATTTGGTTGGTGAACTGGTGGATATATCAACCAGGAGACAAGAGTGTTGTAAAACAAACTTGCAAATATGAGCCCTAAAATAGACTTAATATCAAGAAGACTATAATGCAAAAGAAAACCTCCTTTCTTTGTTTTGACACCCTAAAGTTTTTATTCTGTTTTTTGCAGAGCTATGGAGATGCATCACAGATTGTCACAAACCTCAGGTTCTGAAGTTGCAGAGAATCATAATCAAAAGCAAGACATTTCTTTGACAACTGTTCCCAACCTGTCTCCTGTCTTCTAATTGGAGGAATGACTTCCTGCCAGCTGCCAGACATGACTCATCTTTAGTTTCTTAGTGAACATTGAAAAGCAACTTGTAAACTGCTCTGGGTGAGATTTCCCTAGGAAAACTGAAGGGAAACTAAGTTTAACCTTGTGGTGATAATACCTTGTCTATCCAGCAGAAGGTAATGTTGCAGAACTAAAAAAAAAAATTGAAGATAGATTCTCAAAATTCAGGGGGGAAAACAGCAGAAAACGTGGCTTCCATCCATGTACTTCACCTGCTCCCTATTCTACAGCACTCCTCCCACTGTGCCTTGGTTCCTTCCTTATGTTTAATTCAGTTTTAGTCATCCAAAAGAATATAATCTTTGTAAAAGAAATGTAAATAAAATGCTCAATTACATTTTAGCCTCCAACATTAATCATCTTGTTATGAAGTCTTTGATGTTATGTCTCTACACAATAGGCGTAACATAATTGTTCTAAAAAATGTGAACTTTTTATCAGCTAGATTCTTGGGAAAGATTTCCAGAACAAACTCACTTCCTTGAGTGATGTTTAACCATCAGCTGACATTTATTGCTGTCTATTTGTCTATATTTCCATCCAACCATCCATCCATCTTGGATATCACCAAATCAATAAAAACTCAAAGAAACATACAAAATGATCTTTGCAAACACCCTCAATAGTTAAAACTCTGTGGTAAATATAAATGAATTAAAGAAATGAAGAACTCATCCAAATAATCAATATATGAAAAAAGCATACTATGGTAACGAAACTATCACAACAAATTTAGATAACCTAACAATTAAATAAATCCCAGTAATTGAAAGTGAAGAAAAATAAAAATGATGATTGCAAACTATTTAACTTAATACTCTTTGGAAAAGTTATATCTTCAGTGGTTGATGTGACTCTAACAGAAACATTAGGGAAGATTGAAGGCAAATGAGGTCCAGGCAGAAGAAAAACACAATGACTTCAAAATCTAAGGAACTGGTTTGGACAAAACTCAACAGCACTTTTTTGTGTGGCTGTTGATAAAAAAAGGATTGCCAACATGATCACCAATGTCCGATGATGGATATGGCACAACAACAAGAAGAAGCGAGGATGGAACAGGCTGTTCCACAAGTCTGGACCAACAACTGGGAAACAACACCTCCTGACTTTCATTCACAAAACAGGAATAGGAACTAAAGCTTTTATCAAGAAGAAAATATTAGATGGACTGATTCAAGTAGGAGAAGAAGAGACTGAGAGAAACTATTATGTTGTAATACTCTGTAATAACAGAACTCTAATACAGGTATGCCTTAGCCTATTACTGTTCCTGTAATGACATTTCAATGTTATGATGTCCTTGCAAAAAGTTACTTGTAACCTATACTTGCACTTATAATATGGCATCACAGTCATGAGATCACAATTCAGGGGCTTGGCAACCAGCCTGTATTTACTAATTGTGTCATCCTGTGGTCACAGGATCACAATTTGTGATATTTTTAGACAATTTCTGCCCAAAAAGCACGTCCGGGAAAGCCAAACGCACTTAACAACTGATGTAAAAACTCTTGTAAAATTGAGTGTAACTTGATCTATCACCACAATGACATATGATGGAAATCCTGGTCACAATTTTGGTCATAGGTCCAGGACTACCATATTTATTGGACTATAAGATGCACCGGAGTATAAGACACATAATGATTTTGAAGAGGTAAATTTTCTAAAAAAGTTTTTGCACACTGCAGGCCTCCCAAACCCTCTGCACACCTGGTTTTTTTGCAAAAAAAAATAGCATGCAGAGATTTGGCAGGTTTGTAGAATGCTCCTGGGAACTGGGGGCGGGGCAAAAATGGTCTGTATTCAATGTATAAGATGCACCCAGATTTTTACCCTCTTTTTTGGGGGGGAAAGGTGCTTCTTATACTCTGAAAAATACAGTACCTATAATACCAGCATTGTTTATTCCCTGACTTGGCCTGTCTTGGTGAGCTGATATACATTGAGATATATGTAAATTTGTATTCATCATGCAACCTGGATATTAAGCTTTACTCATCCTAAATACATGCCTAACTTTCTTTAAACCATAGACTTAAAGGGTGGTGGTGGTCATCAAATCTACCATCTGCTACTACAGGAATATGTCCTTGTGATGTTGGTCAAGTGGAGGATATATCTTTCACTTCCCTATGCACCATGAGATTATGGGCAAATTACTGATATAGGTGAATTTGTGGACTTAAGTTTTGAACAACTGAACTATTTTCTGGCAAATGTGTTTTCTAACTATCAGCAACCCAGTTGCTACTTTTGCTCTGCTCTCATTTAAACTTAAAAAGAAATATTTAAGTTCTTAGCTGTAGTCTTAGCTTGCTGTAACCTTTTTACATCTAATACTCTTTTTATTACTTTTCTTTACAATATCTTACTGTTATTTTATTGTATTTTATGGCATATTATATCTTATAACCTGTGGCTACAATAATAAACTTACTAACTTCCTTTCTTCCTACTGTAGGAACCTAAATTAAAGTGTTTCTAATAGAAGAACTTCTGCTGAAATATAACCAATAAAGAGGAGACCCATCCTCCACTTCCTGATATGCTAGTCTTAGAAAACTTTTCTTGATAGTAAATTGGAATTTGTTTTCTTG